ACCGGTTGGACCCCAGAAGGCCCCCGGCGGGCCGAACAATTGGAGCAACTCTGCCCCTGGCTTCCCCAAGTCTGCCGCTGGTCAGTTTCAGCAGCGGCTGAATCTGGACGCCAGGTCTGACTTACCTACAAATTCAACTTAAGAACAAACCTACAGTCCCTATCTTGTACATAACCCGGGGACTGCCTGTAATGTCGCCTTAAAACTTTAGTGACAGTTATAATTAAAATATAGAAACAATATCCATGCTGACAATACTTAGATTGGACACTACTGGGGAGAGGGACTAGTATTTTGTTGTGTGTCTGTGTGGGTGCATAGCACAATGGAGGAGTTCTGATCCAGGATTGGGGGTCAAAATGCATTACTTCAGTTCAAATGAATACTCAAAAAAGCTTCCAATCCCCCCACTTTTTCTTTGAGAAAAAGATAATGGAAAGTAAGTGAAAAGGAAACAAATGTACAAAATTGAAGATATACATGGCACTTGGCATTGGGTTCATACTTATCAGCAGAAGCAAGTCAGAAGTTTAGGTTAAATTTCTGATTCTGATCTTCTTGTGCCCAGGATAGATGAGTACACATGCTAGCTGCTCAGGTATTAAAATGGAGACTGCAATTTAGATATTGGCATAGAAAGTACGCTTATTAAGTTTGCAGATGATACCAAAGTTTGTGACTGCTCTGGAGGATAGGGTCATAATTCAAAATGATCTGGACAAATTGGAGAAATGGTCTGAGGTAAACTGAAAGAATTGGGCTTGTTTAGTTTAGAAAAGAGAAGATTGAGGGGGGACATGATAGCCGTTTTCAGGAATCTAAAAGGGAGTCATAAAGAAGAGGGAGAAAACTTGTTCATCTTGGCCTCTGAGGATAGAACAAGAAGCAATGGGCTTAAACTGCAGCAAGGGAGGTTTAGGTTGGACATTAGGAAAAAGTTCCTAACTGTCAGGGTAGTCAAACACTGGAATAAATTGCCCAGGGAGGTTGTGGAATCCTCATCTCTGGAGATATTTAAGAATAGGTTAGATATTGGTCCTGCCATGAGGGCAGGGGACTGAACTCGATCCTTCCAGTCCTGGTATTCTATGAAAACAGCTGCCAAAAGAATACAAAGCCAAGGCTATCATTTTTTGCAGAAATACCATACTACAATAATATTAGTAAATTATACATAGTATTAAGAAATACATCAGACTGGAATTTAGCCATATATTTTTCTGGTGGTCAGTTTATCTAATCGGGTTTGGTTCTGAATTAAATAAAGTTAAAAAAAATCCCTCGTTGTACTTTTCACCATGGCGCACCAGTTATATTTCAGATTTCAAGGCAGGCTCTGTCTGAGAAGTAGGGATGTCAACCAATAAGCCTAGGCTTATCAGTTAATCTTGTCATTACACACATTTCCTACCCTCCTGCTGGCTTTGTATCAGAGGCAGCAAGAGGTGGGGGATCAGAAGCTTGTGCTGAGGGAAGCCAGCTTAAAAGCAGATTGTGCTTTAGGAATGGGAAGGCTTCCTTAAAGCAGCCTCTGTCTGCTTCAGGCCCAAGCTCCCCACAGACAGAGGCTGCTCTGCCTCTCACAGTGTCAGTTTAAAACCCATCTCCCTGCACAGATAAGCTCCCTGCCACCCCGCCCAGCTGCCTCTGATACAGAAGCAGCAAGTGGGAGGTGGCGAAGATGCATGTAATCAATAAGATTAACCGATAAGCCGAGGTGTAGTGATCGATCATGTACTCAATTACACGTTGACATCCCTTGTTTAAAATCACACCTTCAGTTGACACTGTAGATTAGGCCAAAGTTTGCTCCCTGGCAGCAGAGCCCCTGTTCTCAGATGTACAAGGTCCCTCTGGACAGAGGCTGCTCTGTGTCTTACGGTACCAGTTTAAAAACCAACTTCTCCGTGCAGA